AAGAGTTGGTCAGCTCTCTCTGCATTTGCCCTTGTGTGGCTGGCAGCACCATACATGAAACATACCGCCTCACAGTTGTGTTCGCCAAACTGTTCCAATACTCCTGGCTGTTCTCCACAAACTCATTGGCTGCCCAACGCATTTGATGGAGAGCGGTCTCTGCCGGGGCGTCTCCGTCCTCCTGGTCTTCCATCTTGTCCCGCACCTTCTGCTCTGCCACTTCATTTTCTCGGATGGAAATGACCTTGGACCATTCCTCCTTGATGATCTCATTTTCGGCCACTTCTTCGACGTTCTTGTGCCCGCGGGCATGCTGCTTTAGCTGATTGTCGAATTGTTTGTTGAACACCAGCTTCTGACAGGGCAGTTGCAAACAACATGGTGAAAAAACATTGGTACTATGGCTTGCTGAAATCTTCAAACATCTAAATGTGCATTGAAATGAAAGGCACATGTTGTGTTTGGAAACCTGCAGATCCATCAGGCCTCAAGAAACTGCAATGCCTCCAAAGAGCTGCGGGCGAGATTGCCTTGCCATGAGACGTCTGAGCCCAGCATCTCCTGCCGATACGAAGCATGGTCCTGCAAGACTCGGCGGATCACTGCCCGGTCCTTCTCCAGGATGTTGGCGCGGGCCATCATGGATGAGAGCCAATGTTCCAGGCAAAGCATCTTCAACTCCAGGAGCGGAATCAAACCGCAGGTGTTGCGATCACCAGTGAGAGTGTTCTTGGTCACCTCATCGTTCGTCAGCAAACTGCGGACGAGCCAGTCATAGATTCCCTGCATCACCCAAACCCGCCGATTGGCTTCAGGTTTGGTTGCCAAGAGATGCAGTTTGCTGAGGGAGTTGAAGCAAGACTTTGTTCCAAATTTTTCTTCCATGGCTAGAATGGGACCTAGCATCTCGGGGCCTTTCATCTTCTCATACACCTGGGTTGCCAGTTGCACTAGATTTGTGGTGAGATCATCCTGTGAAGAAGCTTTCTTGAGGCCAAATTGCTTCAACTGATTGACGAGCTCCGCTGGTTGAAGAGTTCGTCCTACATCGGACTCCATGCGCTTCTTCAGCATGCTGATCTCGGTGGCCTGCTGCAAAGCTGATCGGCTCAAAGATTCATACTCCTGTGTGAGCTGGTTGCGGCAATTCCATGAATGAATCCAAGTGTTTTTTGCGCCAGCCACAAAGCAGAATGGGACTGACCTCAGCACAATTTCCCATTCCTCTTTGTGCTCTGGGAGGTCTCTGGCAGCCGCATACAGAGCAGCATGCGCATAGCCTTCCGGAGAAAGCATACCCAGCGCTGATGGTCTCTCTGGCACATCTGTTGGGGCTTCCACCTCCAACAACTTGAGGAGGAACATCGGTTTGGACTGGTTCTTGGGCCACAAGAAGTCACCTAGCTGGCATACACCATGCCTTTGTAGTGGTACTCCTGGGCTTGGGGATCTCAGAAAATCCAACCAGAACAAGTTCCCAGCGCAAATGTACAAATTCTGGTTCCCAAGAGCCCTCATGGCGCTTTCCTTGTTGAAAGGTTCTTGGATGCCGCCATCTCCTTGTTGATTTCCTTGTGCGATTTGCAGCGCATCTTTGTTGGCAAAATCCGGTCCCAAACACTTCAAAATTTTCCTCATGTCTTCTTGGACTGATTGGTAATAGCTTAGATTGACTTCAGACACGTTGCTGGTGGACAACGGTGCCATTGGGGTCAGACCACCGGCACCTCCAGCAGGGGGCAGACAAATGGCACCTCCAGCAGGGGCTTGGCCGGCATTGTTGCCGGTTGGCGAGGACGGGGCCTGGGCGTCATCTCTCGGTTGGGCGCCATCTTTCGCCTTTTTTTTGGCTTCTGCTGATGCCTTCGCTTTGCCTTGTTTCATGATTCGGGTTTGTTCAGCCCTGTACTCATTGATCTTCGCCTGCACATTGTCAGATCAAACATCGCCATGTTTATACAAACACACAATGTTCAGCAACATACTCTTTGCCATATCCCGTGCCTGCCGATCGACCTCGTTCTCTGATCCATCCGGCGCCAGCTGCTCTTCGAAAGTCTTCACAGCCTCATCGATTTTAGCCTGAAATTTGCTGGATGGGACATTATTGCGTTTGATATTTTGAAAACTAAAAATTTTAAAACATGATTTCAGACTATCGGTCCTGTTCAAACTAAAAAATTAATAACATGATCTCAGACTATCGGTCCTGTTCGGCTCCAGAAAGCCGCCACGCCGACCAATTGGAAGGCACGCCATCAGGCAATGGAGCTTTATTCGCTGCTTTTGGTGGCATGATGGACCTGCAAAAACCATCACGTGCCACTGGCTGCAAGACAGCTGTGGGCCAAAACAGATAACCATGCACAAGGTCATAAATCTGTGCACAGAAATGTCCTTCACACTAGCAAGGTGCTGAATTAGCTGCAACAAAAACTCATCCAAGATACTTACGTCAGCAACTAAATTTCCACAGCATTCAATTTTTTTCTTCGCAATGTATCTACTTGGTCTTTGTACAGAGCGATTTCGAATGCAGGAGTCGGGTCAGACCACAACCCTGGCCAGCTCAATGAGGATCCGATTTATTTCCTTGGCCGAAACAGTTGCCATGCTCGATCTGCTGCGCTGCGGCTAGTGGCTGAGTTTACCCAATGATCTCGGGCTGCGGCTTCCTCCCGGGACACGTGGCCCAAAGAAACCATGCACTCCAGCAAAATTTTTCCCAAAACATTGATGGACATGGCGTCCCCCAGCGATGCGCCAACAGTGGATTCGTCAAAGGACTTGAGCAAAGAATTCAGCATTTGCTCAGGCCATCCTTGCAATCGCCCTGCCTCTCGTACAGTCAAACGTCTGTCCAACTTGGGCACAAAGAAACCAGTCTGTTTGCCTTTGAGGCGGCTTCTAGTCAAACAAGGCACAACATATTTATTGGCCGACTGAAACGCCTCGCTGCTGCCAACATCCAATACATATGGTCCTTGGCGAACCCTGTCTCCATACTTTCGCACATAGTTTTCTATGTTGCACCGCTGGCCAGGCTCACCACGGAGATGCGTGTCCAGAAACTCCTTCAACCATTTTTTTTTGAACTCCACTTTCTTCGGCCAGTGAAATCTCGTCACAATGGCATCCTTCAGCAAGGCCACAATGTAGACACGTTGGCGGCTCTGAGGAATTCCATAATCCAATGTTGAATGAAGTTTTAAGCGAAGTGTGTACCCCAATTTTTCCAAGACATCCTTGATCAGCTGTCGGAATTGCTGATGTTTTTTTTGAAGGAGTCCTTTGACGTTCTCCAAGACCACACAACTGGGTTTGTGATGGCAAATATATTCAAGGCCATACAGACCGATTTGTCCTCGTGGATCCTGCACGCCCTTCTTTTTCCCAAGAACACTGTAACTTGGACAGGGGTAGCCAGCCACATAGACATCACATGATGGGGCTGTTGCGGCATTCCTCTTTGACATATCTTTGCACACGGGAGAAACGTCGAGATCTAACAGGGAGCAAACATGGCGATATAGTTTCCTCTTGTCGGGATCACTATCGGACCACATTGAAGTTTCGATTTGCTCGCGAAAACCAAACAGAGTAAGAGCCGCTAAATCGGATCCCATTCCTGCACAGTCGCTCCCCACACGAAGTTTACCTCTTCCAGGTCGACTTGCGCTGGGCTCACCAGCCTTTTCTTCGGCCAAATTGAGAATGCGATCGAAATGTTTTTTCATTTCTGCTGATTTTTTTGGTTTGCTGCCCAAGGTCAGGCCATCAGACTTTCTGCCCGAGGTCAGACCATCAGACTGCTTGCTGCCCGAGGTCAGACCATCAGACATGTTTTTTTTTCTAGTTGCCAACTTGGACAACATGGTCTAAGGCGGCGAGTCTGAGTTCATCTCCGAAAATGAATTGCTAATGATACTTATGCTGACTTGCTTATGTCTTTTCTATCAGTGAGATTGGCTGCTGTTACGGTAGTAACTGACACTGACTATCAGTGAGATTGGCTGCTGTTAAGGTAACTGACACTGACTAATCCAATCAACGTATGTGCCTGTGAGCCAGACTCCGGAAGCAAGAGCGTTGGATTGTATTCTCTGACTACTCCAAGGTCTAGTGTCTCTGGAAAGTAGCGTTTGTACCAGCGTAAATGCGTAAGGGGAGTACGAACTTCATACTCCCCTTACACGGAGCCGGCCCGGGCTGGCAATGTGTAAGGGGAGTATGTAAATGCGTAAGGGGAGTATGTACGCTAGCGGCGCTAGCGTTCATACTGTCCTTACGCGAAAACCTACTCCTCTTACGCGGCCCCGGCCCGGGCTGGCAATGTGTAAGGGGAGTACGAACTTCATACTGTCCTTACACGGATGCGTTCACGTTAACGCTGCTTACGCGGCCCCGGCCCGGGCTGGCAATGTGTAAGGGGAGTATGTAAGGGCCAAAATTGGTCTACACTTAACGTCGCCCAAAATGGAACATGTAAAATGTTAAGTTTGCATGTTCGCGGGAACTCCACTGAACTTTTTGGTGTTCCAATTTCCAATGCTCAATGCTGTATTTTGCACTACTTGGTCTAACACAGCAGAACAAAAACAGCAATGCAGTCATAACTGAACATGACCCTCGGTCAGTCACACAATTGAATTGGTGCAAGAAGACTGGCTAACGCACTTTTTCAACAGACTTGCTGTCATCATCCCCGGCAGCAGCATCACCCTAAGCGCCCAGACTTGTCAGTCAAGAGCGTCATTGTAGCCAAACGCTCAAAAAAACTTTCAGCTGTGTGCACACGCACCCCTGGTTTGCGGAACGAGCGTTTTTCATTTTCTAAACACAAAACCACTTTGGCCTGATTCTGGCCAATTTCCTCCCATTTGGAAGTGGGTTCTGCATGGATGTGGTGTTGCAGGCACGCAGTGATCTGGACGTGCTTGGCTTTAAAATTATCACTCATGAACAACTTCAGATGAATTTCGATTCCTGACCTGTACTGCAAAACAAAGACATGTCGTTTCACTGTCAAGAAGTCGCGGGCGACTACAGCCCCTCCTCGCAGCATCATGTGCCAAAATGCACGTTTTTCTGGAGAGCTATTGGTTACAAAGGCCACGTTGGCCTCATCCAAAGAAGAAGTCAAGGCGGTCAGACCAGCCTGCACAGCCGCTTGACGTTCTTCAGGCGAAGCTTCGTCGTCGATCCAAGCAGTGCGTCCTTGCAGCAAAACATAGAAGAAGTGCATCGGTTTCTTCTCCTGTGCCAACTTGCACATGTTGTCCACATAGGCCTGCTTCTTGATTCGCTCTCTGTCGTTCTTGGCCTCTTCTGCCTTCTGTTTCTGGATGTCCTTGCGGCTAGGCTTCTCGGAATCCAGAAGAAAATTGTCTTCAAAGGCTTCCACACGCCTTTTTTTCACTTCCTGGAGGCACTTTTTTTCCTCCTTTTTCATTGCAGCATCGAACTTGTAGCCTCTGACTGGGTCTCTGCCTTCTTCACCTTGGCCCCCTCTGGTCAGACCAAGAGAGGACGCTTGGCCCCCTCCGGTCAGACCACGAGAGGACGCTTGGCCCCCTCTGGTCAGACCCTTCAGATCGGCTTTTCGTTTTCGAAGGAAGGCTGCCTCTGTGTTTTCGGGCAGTGCAGAAATTGGCTTCTTGCTTCCTGCATCAAAACGCGTCTTGCGACCTGATGTTTTGTTTTTGGCCACATAGCATCTGTTTTGCGAATGCAAAACTCGGGCAGCCTCAACTAAAACTTCGTCGGTCTTGAAGGAAGCCCCTTCCTGAGAAGTCAAACCCAGCACGGACCTGCGAAACGTGTCTGCAGAACCGCTGTGTCGATGCAAATGGTTCCTCTCAATTTTGGAAAAAGTTTGCTCCATGCCCGATGTGGAAGCTGTCCATGACAAGAACGCTGAAAGAACCTCACATTCAACTCATACTTTACCGGGTTTATGTGAACATTATTATACTTCTTTTGGATTTTGTTGGGCATTGTTGGGCATGCACGAAATCAAGTTCAAAACTGATGTGATCTTGTTGACAAGGAACAACCTCCAAGTTGTCCAAGTCCCAGGCTTGCGATGTTTTGGAGACGGCTCGCCTAAAGGCAAACTGCCAGGCTTGTCGATTGTTGCATCCGGCATTCTTATGCTGGGCAAAAGCAATGGGCCAAAGACGATCAAACTCAGCCTTCAGTTTTCCTGGGTTCAAGGCGAACACTTTGGCCAGGCGCGCGATACTGTCGGCCTTCCCTTCTGCGGTGCTGCTGCCCGAGTCTGGGCTCAAGTCAAACACTCGGAAAGCCATGACTGCATCAAAATCTGGAAATTCAGCCGCGATGGCCGCCCTGATCAAGTCTATGGAACGCCGCATCGTTCGCAAAGCCTTGCGCTTGGCCACATCTGCCCTAAGGGCACTGAGTGATCTTGCACCCCCCTTCACATAGAAGGTCAAGTTGCCGCGCTTCAAGAGCTCAAAGCAATGTTTGGTGAAGCCTTCAATCTCAAACACTTTGCCTTGGACAAACATGGCCTCATCAGGGAAATTTGAAAACCATGTTTGACATAAAAACAAGTTTCACACGCTGCGACCCATGATTGGCAACACGGACCTCCAGCTCCTGGTCAAAGCAAT